TATATATATATATATATATATATATATATATATATATATAGTCACAGGACAGAGTATTGTGTAGGAGTGGAGTCAAGGGAATTGTCATAGATGTGTATGATATTGGGGGGGAAGTGGGGTGGTGGATTTGGGGAGGGAGGTTGTCACTTTGAGGGGTAAAAAGTATAACTATTGCACTGTGTCATACAGCTGAATCTAATTTTAAAAATGTGTATTTCACAATAAAAAAATTAAAAAATACATAAAATATTGGTGAAATGTGGAATAAAAAAAAAGCCAGTGGTTTGTAAGGAATAATTTTAACCTTTTCAGTAAAATACTGTGTGGACCTTTAATACGGAAAATGAGGAAACATGCCAAAATTCTGTGCAAGATTCTATTAGAATTTACATTAGCAGAATACACTTTGTAGTTGAACCTTCAAGATGAAAACCATACATGCTTCACAAATAAAATATTATGCAACATATTGAGGTTTTAATGAGAAATAATTTGTACCGTAGCCAACAAATATGCCCAGATAAGGCATACTGTTTGTTTCTAGGAAAAACAGTTTAAAATTAAACTCTAATTATATTTTTTGTCTTTGATTTTACAGAATGGCTTGTTTTATGATTTGACAAGAATTTCAGGGTAAAGAAATTAGTTTCCATGCTTAATATAAATGCACACACTTACGTAGTTCACCAGCTGCATTTCGCCCACCAACCGCATACAGATATCCTTTGAGGGCACTTAGGTGGAAGAAGGTGCGCTTTTCATTTAAAGATGCAACTTGCATCCATTTATTGTATCGAGGATCAAATCTGAAGACTGTATCAACCGCTGTTTTTCCTTTTGTGTCATAATTACTCTGTCCACCAACGACATAGAGGAAATTTCCAATGACAGCAATGCCATGCTGGTACCTTGGAGCATCCATGGGGGCTAACGATTTCCATTCATGCGCCTTTTCATCATACATGCGCAGTTCCTTGCTGACAACCAGCTGCTGCCGCAGCACTCCTCCTAGTGTAACCAAATGAGTGGTGTCAGACCGAATGGCAGTCCTGTCTGACTGCATAACTGGCTGCATATATGGCATCATTTGGTAATTGCTGGCTTCTAGAAGTAGATTCACACAAGTGTTGTCAGTTCTCATGAAATCTATTGTTTGCACGTAATTAATGAGCTCTTGTGGTGTCATCAGTGGAAATCGTATGTTCTTCATTAATTTTGCAGCAAAGTCCATCCGAGGCTCTTCCAGGCGTAACCAGCGACAGGTAGCCTTAAAGAGCTCAAGTTCAGTGCAGTGCTTAAGGCTATTACTGGAAAGCACGAAGACAAGCCGCTCAAAAGGGAGTTTCAAGAATTCCCCAGTGCTCAGCAATGCAGGAAAATTCTTCAAGATGAAACTGTTAACATATTTATCTACTTCTGTCAGATTGTAGGTGTTAGCAATCCGCCCAACTTCGACACAATTGTCTAGGGTGACCTATTAAGCCAATAAAAAAAATTAAAACACGATTAGTTTCATAACACACATACATCTGGATAGCATAAAAGCATGTTATAGAATAAAAGTAAATTTTGCTTTTTACTGTCCATATAGATACAAATAAATATTCTTATCTAAGTACATTAATGATCTAAAGAGAATTCACAAACCATCTTCGCTTAATCCAGTAGAAAGGTGACTAGAAGAAAATGATCATTCAAAGTCAGTAGGTTAGCAGTTACTCTATGAAACAAGGTTATTACTTGACTGTGGTCAAAATAATCACAGTAAATCCTCAGTATCGTCATACGTTCTTAGAATTGTGGACAAATGACATATACTGAAATCGATATAAACAAGAGTTCCTACTGCATCTCATCAATGTTATAATGAAACGACGTTATTCAAGGGCCTGTTGTACTTTTCTCTCCTTAAAAACGTGTGTTCCCGGGCCGGCCGAGTGGCACGATGGTTAAGAACTGGCTTGGGACACCAGAGGGCCCCGGTTCAGATCCCACATATGAGGGCCAGTGACACTGCCCTCTACAGCTAAGATGCTGAACAACAGCTCAACCTGGAGCTGGGCTGCCCTGAGTCGCCGGCGATGGCGTAGGCTGCAGCCCCTGTGGCAGTGGGTTGCCATGGGCTACCGTGTGCAGCCAGCAGCCAGTGTGAGCAGCCAGCATCCACAGTGAGTGGCGGTCCAGAAGCCAGCGACTGATCTGCCTCGCCCGGGAAGAGCACAGTGATGGTGCCAACTTGGGCCAGTGAAGCAACATCCTCCACAAGTAGACTGAAGAACAAAAGGACAGCAAACTTGTCTGTTCCCCTTCCCCCAATTCCCCAGCGCTGTTCCAATGCCCCAAATTCCCCAATAAAAATCTTTTTAAAAAATGTGTGTTCCCTTCCCCTCCCCCCAAAAATACTAATAAAATTCTGGCTAGATGGATATTTTGGAAAAATAGAGGGTTATTCTATTATGGTTTATCTCAATACTTTTCTCAGTCATGATTCTTAAAAGTATGTAACTCAGCCAGCAGGTCCACTAACAGAAAAGCTCTAACACACAATTCCTAGATTTCTCTTTCATGTAAACAGGCATCATTCATTACTATGATTTATTTTGATTCCTTCAAAAGTTATTGCTTATATAAAAATAACCCAATAGGACAATTATTCCTAGGGCTAAGTAATTTTCCACATTATTTATCTTGAAATATAAGCAAGGGAATCAATTTCATGAAGGTTAGAATAGTTGTGTGTACATCAAATTGCTCATGGAGTTCAGTTAGTTTCTGATATCTATTACATTCCACATAGTTTTCCTTTGCTGCTGTCTTACTTGCAGCATACTCTAGTTCTGCCTGGGGTCAAAATGAGCCCAGAAAAATGTCCCCAGCACAGAGTAATTTATACCAAAAATGGAAACCAGGGAAAGGAAAAAAGCTATGGAGTGGCTCCTCTTTGGCAGAAGCTCTTTTCAATGCTTTAATAACTGATTGGAAAGTGGAAAGAGGAAAATCACATCAGCAAATATTATGCAAGGAAGAACTCACAAAAACATGCCTACCATACAAATGTCTGGGTGTATAATACAAACACAGAAACATTACAGGCAAAGGACTCAAATGATTTTTCTCAGGGTGTGTGTTCACAAATGTCACATACACTACACCTCATTGATGCAACTGTATGGTTAACAGATTGGCAGATGATTAAGAGAAAATTGGCTAATCCTTCTATTATCCTTTTTATTTAAAAGCTGAAATGAGACTAAAATCTTTATGTCTCTGCATAAAATAATAGCCCAGTTAAGATACAATACCACTGAAAGCTGTATGGTCAATACACACACACACAGACATAGACAGATTTATTGCTCAAGAATTTGAACTCTTTTAAGCAGCTGATTTGCTTTACAGAAATCACCAAAAAGTTTTCATTGTTTGTTGTACTTAATAGCTAAGTATTGAAAAATACCTAAAACATAATTGTATCACAAAAGAACTAGGAAAAGTAAATTAACAAATTATGGAACTTTTGAAATACAGCTAGTTTAACCCTGTTCAATATCTTGGATTTCTAATGTGATTAATAAAAAGTACATTAATTCAATTTTAGGAGTGGCAGGTTTGTGTCTCTTAAAATTTTTAATTGTGTTAATGAAGTTACAGTTAATACCCAATTGCCCAAACCACCTCAGGTGGAAGGGATTCCTATTTGGAGTAATGGATCCACTTTTGGAGGCAAGCAAGAAATAGCTCTTTTCCAGAGCAAGGGTAATTTGCCCTTTAAACACATTTACTAGTATGGGTAAGCAAAAGTTGATAACAACATAAAAGTAATTCTCAGTGTATACATTCTCATCATTACTGATATTATTACAAATAAAAACAACAAAGCATGGGTACATTAAATAGGCAAAATGATACCATCAGTTGTTAATCACCAAATTGAAAGTATATAAAATAACCCAAGATTAGAGATTAGAAACCAAACTATAATTAAGAAATAGGATCATGGTATTTAGTTCCTTCCCCTTTTCCCTCTTCAACTTTATCCAATAAGAAAATAATTACTAAAATAACTGGATAAAGAAACCTACCTTTTATTTAAGGGCATTTGGAAAATAACGGTATGCTCAGATGTTGACCCAGAGAACTGGAAAAGACCTTGACAGACAACCTAATCAATACAGATAGCTGCCTACTCTTTTCTTAAAAATCGACAGAGAATAGTACTTCATAACCTTCCATATTGTCATTTTCTTAATAGAAGGACTAAGCGTTTTCTATAGCTCACATAACAGCTACCACACTGTGGGCATATAACAAAGGTTAAATACTATGATTGTTAGCACTATAAAAATTAAAGATGTGATGACAGATACACCTAAAAATAAAACACTGTTGAATTAACATAGTAAATAACTAGAATCTTATTAATTTTAATATGACAGATAAGAAAATTATGTAATAGGAAATTAATTTTTATGAAGTGCATGTCATTGAAGATAAAAAATTAATTTTAGATTTTAAGGATTATGGAAACATAGTCTAAAATAATAGTTAGCAATATAAGCAGATCAAAAATTCAAAAATGATGAAATAATTGTAAAGAACTTTTGGAAAAATACAAGATTATTCACTGACGGTTCATTTCAATCCACTTCTCAGTCATGATTCTTAAAAGTGCTTCAGCTAGCATATCCCCAAACATTTAGCTTTGACTGGTTTAAAATAATGGACATGTGCAGTAACAACATACAATGCAATTCATGTATATATTAGAATACATAACATTTTGAAAATATAAAAGATACAGTTTAAAGCTTATTTTTAAAATATCCATAACTAGAAAGAACTTTAATTTCATCTGAATATATAACTTGGCCAAAATTCCAAAGTTATTATGGAGTTAATCCAAATAATTATATTAGCATTATAACGGATAGAGAAGCAAAACACAACAAACTTTCTCAACCACTTATGAGAACCAATAAAATTGATTTGAAAATAATCATGGGCCGGCTGAGTGGCGCGATGGTTAAGAACTGGCTTGAGACGCCAGAGGGCCCCGGTTCGGATCCCACATATGAGGGCCAGTGACACTGCCCTCCACAGCTAAGATGCTGAACAACAGCTCAACCTGGAGCTGGGCTGCCATGAGTCGCCAGCGACGGTGTAGGCTGAAGCCCCTGTGGCAGTGGGCTGCCATGGGCTACCGTGTGTAGCCAGCAGCCAGCGTGAGCGGCTAGCAGCCGCAGTGAGCGGCCGTCCAGAAAACGGCGACTGATCTGCCTTGCCCGGGAAGAGTGCAATGATGGTGCCAACTTGGGCCAGTGAAGCAACGTCCTCCACAACTAGACTGAAGAACAAAATGACAGCAACTTGTCTGTTCCCCTTCCCCAATTCCTCAGCGTTGGTCCCATCCCCCCAATTCCCCAATAAAAATCTTTAAAAAAATAAAAATAATAATCAAGTGCACATTTAAGTTTCCTTGATATAAATTATTATATATTATGCTATTATAATCAAATAACTTTCATGATCATCCTAAAGGCAGTTCTAAGAATCATAATTTTCAAAGTTGTCATTTTCATTAATATACTGGTACTCATTGCTGCTATATTAAATTTAAATTGAATAAAATTTAAATACCTTAAATTAAATGTAATTACCCTACATTAAAATTCAAATTATACCTGATACACCCAAACATTCTCATTAGCATAATTTGATTTTTTAATGACAAGTTTCATCAGAAATTTGTGATGTTATTTGTTGAAGATCAGTATCTTATACAGATAAATTCCCATTTAGGAAAAAAACTTCACTAAGCAAAAGCAAATGAATATCTGCTTTTGTTGTCTCATGGAAAATGCAAAGACTAAGTAAGAAATTAGCTGTCAAATTTTGGGGGACTCCTCAGAAATTCAATGCACCAACTTATTCTTGGTCCTATACAGTTTATTAAAATGACAGCCTAACATCAAGTACCTCCAATGCAGAGAGAGAATGCATTTCCACAGAAAAAGACTGGGAAGAAATCAAACAAACTACTTTGGTGGGCAGAGGGTATCTTCTCTGGAGCCTCCTTTCAGAGGTGAAAACATCCAAGGACATAGGGAAGGGACCTTTTGGTAAGAACACAGGGATGATTTAAAAAACAAAAAGCTTCCTCTCAGTCTTTGTCTCTCTTCACATTCTAAATGCCATTTGAATGTGAATACTGATGGTGTGTCCAGCTTTGGGAATCTAAATTACCTTATTCCTTTGCACTTTGAATGGATTTCCCTTATTAGTTGCAATGTTAGCTATTACAAAGGTCTTTGAGGGGAGGGTGAATTGGTTTGACCCAGGCTGGGTGTCTTCTTTGACTACAGAGTCCCTAGTGGCAGATGGACAAGAATGCAATGGTGAAAGTTATAGGCAGAGATAATATTTAACCAGCACAGTATGGGTACCAACTAATCAGAATATAAGCTCAGCCATAAA